TTTAAGAGTTTTTTCCAATATGTCAAATAGGATAGTAATAGCTTTGTTAGTATTGGGATTTGTTTGTTGAATAAATTCAATAAAAAATTGAGGTCTGTTTTCTGCCATTTTATAAATAATATGGTAGAAGCTAGCCTTAAGAGCTTTTTGCTTAGAAGTTTCAGGTTTGATCTCTTTTCCAGAATAGAAATTATACAGATAAGATTTAAGGAAGTTAAAAATTTTTCATGAAAATTCTGTTTGAAGTTGTAACTTGTCTTTTATGTCATCAGAAATTGGGAAATTAGCAAGCCAATCAAATGTTGGATTTGCTTTAATTTTAGATTGATTGTTAGTAGTATTTGTTTGTGTTTGTGGTTGTTGTTGTTGGTTTGGCTGCTGTTGCTATTGCTGTTGCTGTTGTTTGTTATGATATAATTGATATTGATGTAGTTGTTGTTGTTGCTGCTGATTATTGCTATTAATTGTATTATTATCTACATTCATGTCATTTGTATTGCTAGTAGTACCTATAGTTGAGGTGATGAAGATAAGTTCAGATACTAGAGAGTTATAAGATCTAATTGATTGTTGAAGTTTTTGAATAAATGTTGATTGTTGAATAGGTTGTTGAATTTCTGTACAGGTTTTATAATAAAATTTGTCATTATATAAAATAGCATTAGATGCCAAGCAATGTTGGTTGTTCATTTCTTTGCAGGTGATAGGTAAGTTACATTTGACACAGAAATAGTTATGTGTAGTAGAAGAAAGTGATGCTGTAGGTGATGATAGAACAAATTCAGTAGAGTTTGTAATGTTATTTGCAAGAATTTTATCTCTAAGTTTTTTGATAATAGAGGTTATTTTATGTTGTTCATAGGTTTGGTTGATTGTTAATATAAAGTGATTATAATACTTTTTACAGAAGCAAATAATAATGAAGCTCAATTCTGGTACTTTAAAATAGTGACTACTTTTAATACTACCTCTAAGTTCAATATAAATATAATTATTTGGTTGTTTGGTTGCAAGGATAGGATGTGATGTATGTGCTGCATCCTCATAGATACTAACTCTGAAGCTTTTAGAACACTTTTGGTAAAAATAGTCAAGATCAATAGTATCTGGTATAGTTGTAGACAAGGTTAGCATTTTTCCTAAAAATAGATTTTTAAGTGTTTTTTAAAAAATTTTATATAATTTAAAGGTTTTCAGACTAATTAGGAAAGTTTGGAAATAAGTTTGAGCTTCAGATAAGCTAATTGAGTGTTTAGGAAATTCTAATAGATACCAAAAAAGTAAAATTTTCAGAGCATCCTAGCAAATTTTCTTAAAATTGCCAATGAAAAAACTTGCAAAAGACAAATTTTTGTTTTTGCTTTTCGCTTGTATCTCTATAAGGTTTGGTTTGTTTTTAATAAATTATATATCATAATGTTTATTTTAGTATGCTAAACAACTTTTGAATAGATAGTATGATAGATTTAATTAGTAAAATATTAAGTAAATAGACAAAAACCAAAGTATGGTTTTTGAAACTTTTCCTAGTACTCAAATATTATTAGAACTTAAAACACAGCCATCTAGGAATGAAAAATTGTGCTGGACAACTTTACTTAAGAGATTGAGTAAGGTTTACTTAGTAAAATGTTAAGAAATAATTAAATGTTTTTTTGTGTTTTTTGGTATAAGTGATTTATAGAAAGAGTTGCTTTGCTACATTATCATCTACTCTACAACTTTTATTTAATAACTAAAATAAATTTATTTAATATAATTTTTTATAAAATTAAATGTAAAAAAATTTACTAATAGGTTTATATATAATTTTAAAATACTTGTCTCTATCCTTAATTATGATTGCATAACTTGTATAAAGTAAATATACAACTAGTCATATATACAACTTTTGGTTATCTATTTTAAGTAGTCTTTCTACACAACAGGTTCTATACTAGCTACCATATATGCAATCTACTAGAAGATTATCTATTTAAATACTCTAATTCCTATACTTATACTAATAAATAGCAAACAATTTCCTATATATTTAAGTGTCATCTAATCTAATTTTGACCTCTCTTTCTGTACATCTGTCAAGTTATCACACTGTTAACATTAAGAGTTTTACACATTTTTGATTATAACTTTTGATGTACCAAACCAATTTGGATGAAACAACTACCATTAGATTCAGCTCACTAAGACGATTCTAATGAGCACAAGATCATATGATTCTGATTATAGGATCACGAGATTGGAATGATTTTGATGAAAAGCACTAATTATAATACATATGACTTGATTCTGATTGGCTCAAATTACTATGTCAGAAATCTAGCATTTCTATCATTTCAATCATTTCTAGTAGATCTATTATTTCTATTAGATCTATCATTTCTACTAGATCTATTAGTTCTATTATATATATTATATCTATTATATCTATTAGTTCTTATTACTATAAATAGCATTTATTAGCAATAGAATAGTCTTTATTGTAATAATTTATACATGTAAAATATCTATAAAAGAATTACTTTCTGATCCTTCAAGAAAGTTAAATGTCTTCATATATTTCATAGTTAATAAACTGAATACAATATTTAGTATCTTCATATACTATCTATTGTTGCCTCTATCTTAAAATCCCAAATCACTCTGTATTTTGTTAAGTCTTGTGTAGCCTTTTGAATAGAATCTGTCAAGTTATAGTCATCATACTATAGTTGAGCAGCTTCTGTTATTACTGTGATTAAAAGAAAAATTACAAATTAATAACATATTTCAAAATATATCATTTAATTATAAGACTTCAAAATCCCTTTGCTATCTAATTACTTACATTTAATCTTTTTGTTAACAAAGCTCATTCTTGAAGAATTCATCCAAACCTGAGTACTAACTTCACAACATATCTCTAGTATTTATAATATATCTCTGCTTCTAACTTTAGACTTCTAATTCAGATAGCCCAAAAGGACTATGATATGTTCCTAATATTCTAAGATCTGCTTTCAAGATTTTTTATTCTAGTTTGAGACTTTTAACAATTTGGTTGATAGTACTCTTTATCTGAAATTCTTGTTTGCTCAATTTTTTCTATATTGGTATCTATTTCTTAGATCTAGCCTTTGTAGTAGTACTGTTATATATCTATATTACCTCTCTACTTAGGTTATTCTAAGTAGATTCTGACTTTTCAGTTCTATAAATTTATATAGCTACAAGGATTTCTTATTTGGGGTTTGCATTTTTTTGTATAATTTTAACATTGTACAGATGCTTTATGACCTGCCAGTCATGTTAGTAAGGCTATAATTACAAGTATCTTATCCTAACTAATAGACAGAATGCTATCACTATAATATTGTCTATATATTATATTGATAATTATCCAAAATTTTACTATTATTAGATTTTAAACTCACTACTTATAACTTAGAAGTTTGATAACTTATCAACTTCACTAAGTTGTCACACTTCTAAGGACTTATCTTAATATTTAAAAAAAATAAAAAATAAAATAAAATAAAAATAAAATAGTTAGAAAGAAAAAGAAGAAGATACTAATAAAACATTAATAAATACAAAATATAGAAAATGATCTAGCAACTGGAATTAGCAGATACAATAAGTATATAAAAAAAGAAAAAATAGTAAAAAATAGATATCAATATTAGATAAGAATCAACAACAAAATAAATATAATTTTAGAGACACTAATAGAGAAAAGTAACAATATATAGACAGCTACAAACTAATTAACCAAATATACAAGAGCAGAAGAGTTAAGAAAAAATAAACAAAAGCTAATAGAACTTAGAATGCTAAGAATTTAAAAATAAAGATAATTAAAAAACAAAAACAAGAGATAATGTTATTTAAAAAATAACAGAAATTTTAAAAAAAATATATTAAGAAGCAAAAATAAATAAGTAAGATACAAGATTATATAAAAAAAAAATTAATAGTAGAAATAAAAGGGTGACCAATATTAACTACAACTAAGTTATTAACAATATGAGTAGCAATTTTGTTAATATCAAAAAATAAAAAACTAAAAATATTTATAAATAATAATGTTGCAATTAGAAATATTAGTAAAATTTAAAATATACAGACAAAAATAAAATTCTTAAGAGGACAAATACTTTATAATTAGTTAAAATAATTAATTTAATTAGAATAAAAAACATACAGATAGAATAGTTTAAGATAAAAAATTATAACAAAGAAATGGAATAATAAAACTAATAGTCTTGCAAAAAAAGGAATATTAAGTAGAAAAATAATATATATAAAAGAAGTCAGTTATAAGAGATAAAGTACTGTTTAGAATGAAAAAAACAAATAAATAAACATATTAGTAAAACTTTTAGTTAAACTAATAACAAATGTCAAAATAAAAGCAGAGTAAAGAGAAATAATAGAAATCATAAATCTTAAACCAGTGACAATAGTAATAATTTATAATTGAATATACTTTTGAAAAAAATTGAAATTAACCAAAAGAGTACATTGTATGACTAGAAAAAATACTTTATAAAATATGTATTGAAGAAACTTTTAACTTTGAAAAAACTTAACAAAAAAAGACCAGATATATACAACTGCAGAATGCCAAGTTTGTTAAAGCAAAATTAAAGAAAAACAAAAAACTTCTGACATTATACAAAGAACAAATGAATTTTTAGAAAAGGATTTAGAAAATATCTATTGCAACAGCACAGAAAGAATTAAAAGAAGAAAAAATCCAAGTTTTATCTTATGTATTATATATGACACTTTTTAAAAAAACAGAAATAAAATAAATAGAAATAAAAAAAATACTAATCAAGGACCTAATTCCAAAAATAACTCAAGGCAGATTAGCACAACTTCTAAACACAAGAATAAGATAACAGTTCATAAATGTAATAATAGAAACAGCCTAGAATAATTACTTTTAACTATGTAGATAACTAATTATTATTTAATAAATTTGCATAATATATGTTGAATATACATATACAACTTTATAACTTTTTACCTTGCAATGTGTAAAATCATTTCTTCAAGTTTTTCAATATAGTTTTTCAATATTTTGGTTTATTGAAGATTGAAATAATCTCTAATAACATTGTCACAATGAAATTATGTTATTTAAGGGAACACATTCAGTAAAGAATAAATAGAAACCTTCAATTATTCAAATTCACTTGCCGAATAGCAATTTTCTAGTATTCGGAATTAGCAAGAAACTTGATGGTTGGATAATTTTGCAGGATAAAAATTGACGGTTCTATTTTTTGTCTATTATAATGACTCTTATCCATTAATTGTTTATTTTTTCTTTTGTGAACATAAGCTTCTAAGAAGTTTCATGATTCAGAAATCATATTGTTGCGGTTCTATGATTATTATTAAAAAAATGAAAAAAATAATGCCAAATTATTTTTTTTATTAATATTAACATGATAAGATCTTTTCGATTTTTGTACTCCATCAATAATTGAATCACTTTAGTAGATAAATCGTATATATATATTAAAACAATAATATATTAAAACAATAATATATTAATACGATAATATGTCATCAATCATTGAACCATTATAATGAGTCTAATAATTTACTGCATTAAGAACGGACTTAAGTTATTATTCGATCGGTGAATATTGAAAAATAACATGCAACTATTGAGAATTGTGATCGTGAATTGTATTGCCAATGAAAATACACTTGTACTGTCAATGAATAGATTTTCATTTCAGAAAATTCTAATATGCTGTTTGTTATAGATGGGCAAAGTAATTTACCTATTACGTGAAGTTAAATCACTTTATATGACAATTTATTATGTTATTAGTTGCACGTATATATTATTAGTAAATTGTTGCATAGCGATAGTGTGTGTTAACTTTTACATAATAGTAAATTACATTACTCGTCTATACTGTTTGTACAATATTTAGCAGATAATGATCATGAAGAATAAGCTGTTAATCAAATTAAAGTGTTATAAATGAAGATATCGTCATTTAGAAAAATCAATTCAATTAAGAGCAGATTTTATTAGATATTTAAACAAATGCTCTATATTTAGACAAAAAGAACTTTAATTGATATTTCTGTACTAAAAATACTAAATAAATATATGATGACATGTCTCAAAAATCAAATAAATATTAAATATAGAAATGACTAGTTTGCTAAGTTAAATAATTTAGAGAAATATTATTAAAATTAATAAGTAATAAAAGTACAAAATAATTACTTATAAAAATTGTGGATAGAAGCAAATTAATTATATATATTTTATATTAATATTTAGATTGCACTACATGCTGCTTTGAGTTCTGTAGTAATATCTGGATATTCATCAGCAGGCTACAATAACCACATGTTAATATTATGATATATTTACTGAATAATATAAATAATAATATGCTGTTTCTTACCTCTTCTTTATCGCATACGTCTAACTTTTCGAGACTGGTAAGAAGACTGCGGATTGTATTTAATTGAGAATTATTACAGCAATCTCCATTTAAATATAATTCAAATTCATCACAAGCGCATTCAATCTTTCCTTTCTCTATTAAACTTTTACAGAAATTTTTCAAAGCACTGCCACAATCATTGGATCTACGAATCAATCCTGCAGCAGTGAAATGCGATAAAAAGGAAATAATAAAGATCAATGAGATAAAAATTTTCTTAAAAGATGCCATGGTTTATTATTAAATCTTTTAATAGTTTTAGTTTTACTTATTAAATATGAAATGAGAACGAGTTGGAAAAGAGAACTCTGGGTAGGTCTTTATATATTTCTCAAATTCAAAGTATATATAACTAAACCAAATTGTTTATACAAATTGTTTATTCAATTTTGTATGTACATAACATACAAAAGATGATACATTATCATAAACAACGTAGAATTAAAATAATATTCCCTAGGAAAATTACAATACATGCATAAAGCCCATATAAGGAAGCCCATATCTGCTTGTCGATGTAACATTATACGTATACGAAGAATCCATAATATTATGTTATTTCTAAATCTGGACTAAACTAATTAATGATGAGTAACATTAGCACGTACGCAAAAAAAAAACAAAAAGGAAAAAAATATCATGAATTAAAAAGTCATACATACGACCATGCATTCGTGCAGATAATTATTGAATTCTTTATAGTGAATTATTTGTCAATTTTTGTACAAAGTAAAAATAATGGTTTTATTTGTCTGCATTTAACTAGTATGTATTACTAAGGAAGACAACATTTGTATGTTAACTTTTTAGTACTTATGCTGTGTATTAAACTAATATGCATCAGATTACAGTCATTATGATCCGTTAATATCTACCTTTATTCTAACAGTAGATAGCAAATTTTTAACTTGATAAAATTTTAATCCGTCAGTTCTCGACAAGGAACCTATAAAAATTGTTTTCATATGTAATCATGTAATGATTCACCAAATTTTTTATCATTCCTCAAATACTAGATATAAATCTTTTCTTTTTCAAAATTGGACACATTATTTACATATGTGCATAATGTGTCATATGCAGAAAAATTAACATTCTCCATGTAAATATGCAAACAGACAAAATCTTTTAAAATGAATTCTATTCGTTCGCAGATTTCATTAAAAGACGGATTAAAGTTATTAAATGAACATTATTTACAATAATCATTTATTATTGTAACGATTAAATTAGGAGAGCAATGCAAAATGTATTGTTCCACTAGTTATCTTATATCATGTAAATTTAAAATCATAATATTCATAGCGTTTATGGGATTTTGTCGTAATGAAAGATTAAAACCTAAATGTTGGTCTTTATTTTTTTTTAAACTTCTTTTTAGAGCTATATCAGAATACATAATGATATCACGTGTCGCTTCATAGAAATTGGATTTGATAACAATTATTATAATACTAGTCTATTTATGAAAACTTGGCAAGCTCATCAAACGACACGTTCAATTTTGATACATTTTGACAACTTTTTCATCGGCAAATTATTTTAATGACAGCATAGCTAGATTTATAGTTGGTTGCATGACGAGGGTCATGCTAAGGTCATTATCACAAAGATCTTTACAGTTAAACCCCAAGGATGTAATTACGATTGCTAATTAAGGGTATAAAGAAATAAGAAAGAAAGAGATAGATACGATATATAAGGTTAAGGAGCAGATTGGAATTCTATTCTTTGTTACCCGACTTTAGTTTGGCTCTTTCATGATGCCCTATTAGCAAATTAGAACAAGGCGAAAAACACAATAAAGCCGTAATTAAACAAAGAACATAAGCCATACGTATGAACTTTATAAAGAAAATGTGCGAATTGTAACTGATATAACATATCACCGGCTTGGTGACAAACATTTGTTCACAGAAAACAGCACAAAAGCAGATAATTGCATCAAAGAATTTCAACTTAAATTTACGAATAGATTCCTTTAGCAGATTAGATAGTTTTTAGTGATGTGGTTGGGCAGTACACAATGTCTGATCTATGAAAAAATGCTAAAAGAATTTACAGATTATGTATGGTAAAATAGTAAACTTTAAGTAATTTAACTGACTCAAAAAAATGAGTATATATAGGTATTTGCTTAATTTGGCTTTAAAAGAGGATAACAGAATAAAAAATATGCAAATTGTAAACAACATAAACCATCCTATGCTTGGAATTAAATTCTTGACCCTTAAACATCAACAGAAAAATGGATAAGTTGAAATAAAGATGTTATATAGCGAAATTGAATAGATTTTTTTAGTAGATCAAAAAATTCAAATGAGAAGTAATGAATTTTGTAACAACTTGGTTAGATGAAATAAATTATGTTTATAAAAATAAATATGAATATATGAATATGATTGTAAATATGTACAATAACGTACACTATTAAATGCAATGCCTTATATTTATAAATCTAACTATAAATTAAATTCATCGTTTATTTCAAACATTCGATTTATCAAGTTTTCTATATTATAATTTATATTTCCAAGCAAATTTGTTGGCACATTAACTTGCAATTGACCATTGAAGCAGAATAAAATATCTATTGGTTTTGAAATTATGAGCGCATTATTTGTATTATTTGATCATTGACTTGATCCAGTAATATAATATTCCCTAATTTGCTGAAAATATATCGGCTTGTGTGATAATACATTTGAAAATAAACTTGACGATTCTTCATTCATATTAATAAAATAAGCTTGATACATTCGAATTCAAAGATTTATTATTCTTACAATTACGTTAATTAATTTTTTTTATAATTATTACATCAATCTTGATTTATATCATGGGCACAATCTTAATCTTTATATGCAACGATGTACAGTACATACATTTTAGAATCTTAAATACCAAATTTAATTATGGTTTATTGTAATTTTTGCAATTACTATAATTAAAATATTTTTGTACAAAAACTACTTTGCTTATTAAATTAATTAAGTTGACATTACTACTCATGCCTCTGGCATGGTTCACACACTAGTGGTCTATACTGTATAGTATATATGGTAAATTAATGGGCAGAAGTTCGTTTGATTGTTTAATAAATTCAATTTAATTTTATATTATTTATATAGTTTAGAGCATTTTTTTAAAAAAAAACATAACCTAATCGTAATAAAATAAAAACAATAAGTTATATAGAAAGAGGTTTAATAAATGTAGAAAATCTGATGTTCTAATATTTTTAAAAGAACATATTTTTGGATTTGTGAACATTTGTTACTTTAAATATATTCTTTATTAAAAAAAAATTTAAGAACATATTGTCTAATAAATATGTTTTTTGTATTTTTATATTTTTATTTTTTTTAACTTTAGTAATCATGCTAAGATTTTGTTAAATTCTTGAAATTATACAAATTATATAGAATTTTCTGATATACAAGTCTAACATACCTAAGTGCAACCTATTGCATTATTTTAGTTAAAGATAGACTGCTTATCTGATTGCTATTCTACAATAGAACATCATCAATCTAAGATATCTTTCATAAAAAATAAAAATAAAAAAAAATTTTATTTAAATATCAAAATAGAAGTATAAAAATAAATAATAAAATATACAAAACAAAAAATAAAAGGTAAAAGAAGATAAATAAAAAAAAATATGAAACTTACAATTCACAAATATCAACTGATTACAATTATAAGTCAATGTTAAGTTTTAAAAATTATAAACTATATTAAATAGAAATAATTTTATTATTTTTCTATTTACTTGGATTTTTAATAAAATATTATATAGAAAAGAAAAATTTCAACTTAATCATAGAGAATCAGTATAAGCATTAGTTAGTCCAAAGACAATATTGACAAGTTTCTAGTAACTTGAAATACATGTATAATCATATTTGTATTACTGTATTATTTCTAATTCATGTTGTCAATAAACTTATTTAAGAAATAAACTCCACTAATTATTTTTGTAATTTTATATATAAATCTTTAGAAAAAAATAAACTAAATCTTATATTTTTTATAAAATTTTTCTCAAAAAAAAATAAAAATAAGAAGTAAATAATTTTATAAGTTTTGTGATTTTTAATTATTTTAGATATATTTTGTAGGTTTTATAATTATATAGATTAATAAATCTAACTTTGTAATTTACTTAATAAAAAACTTTGACTTTCATTAATTACTTTTTTTATAGTTCCAGAATACTTTTAAATTGTCATCACAAAATTGCAATTTCTTTTACAACTCTATTATAATATCCAATTATATGTATAATATTCCAAAAAAAATTTTATAAAGTTCAATATATTAACTATATTATTTTTCTATAGTTCAACTTTTTGAAAAGTTTGATTCAGATGATCATCAAAAAGAGTTATAATATGTTCTTTATATAATATAGTATTTAATAAAGTTAATAATTAAAAAATAAGTAAAATTTAATAAATTTTAAAAAGAAAATAAATATACATAAAGAATGAGATATTGAAAACAAAATTATTTTTGTGAACATTAAATTAAATAATTGCATTCTTATGAGAACATAAATTTCAAAACAGATTCTCAACACTGGGTTTCATTAGATTTCCAACACTGGGTTTCATTAGATCTCAACACTAGGTCTCATTAGATTCCCAATACTAGGTTTCATTAGAGCTGTAGAACATAGTCAAAAATAAGATCTAATTTTTATATGTTTAAAAAAAGTTAGTATAGTAATAACTTCTCAAAACAAGATAAAATCAACTTATTATTAAGCTAATGTTTTTAAACGGACAAGAATTAGATCTTATTTTTTGACTATGGTGGAGTCTTACAACTCCAATGAACCTTCTATATGGTTTATCATTATTATTATTATTATTATTATTATGGTTGGTTTCCGCTTTTTGTTAAAAAAAGTACTCTAAACAGTATAAATAATGTAAAATTAAAGAATTTATTTGCAATCAAACCTCTTGTAATTGGTACCAGCATGTGACAATGAGCCAATAAAATTATACTGGTAAAATTAGTTCTATCGTTATAACAAAAGAAAGATGAAAAATATATTTTCTTAAACATATATATTTTCTTAAATATATATTTTTTCCTAAAGCTTATTTCATTTACTATACCAAAATAAGATAAGACATAAAATTCTATAATTACTGTATTATAATCAACGTTTATTATGAAAAAATTCATTAAACCCATAGAGTTTTAAAATCTTCGAG